ATCCGTCGCTGAAAGTGTCCGTCGCAAATCCGTCGCTGATTTCCGTCGCTGATCCGTCGCTGATAGCATTACCTACGACTGTTTGACCGACGGAGTATCAGCGACGGATCAGCGACGGAAGCCCCTTTCAGCGACGGATCAGCGAGGGAAATTTCCCTCGCTGATACCCAGCATTTTTGTAGTGTCAATCATATGCAATAGTTGTATACATTTTTGTTAATCATATGTGATTATGTATATTTATATTTGTAAATCTTTTTGTTATGCAAATATATCATATGTGATAATACATCACTTATATTCAGACGTTTATTATTATATGAGATTACGCTAATTATACTTACACTTATATTATCATATGTGATAAATACAAAAATTTATAAAGTGAATCTTATGTAAAAAGGTTTTGGCAGACGGTTTTGTGGATTGCTATGTGTGTGATTTGGGGTCATCGAAATAAAGTGGTGTTATCGAATGTGACCCCTTCTCAATAAGACTTGGCCTTTGGTATTCAATTATTCTCGTATCAATGGATAGTTAACCGTTCAATAGGTTTTAACACATCGTGGGTGGATCAGTGCAGCAGTCCTTCGTGAGGTTGATTTTGCTCGTTTTGGTCTGGTTTTCTACTCGAGTTTTGGATGGTCCTCTTTAGGGTTTCGTCTCATTCGTACGATTCATTAACGCATGGTCTTATGGCTTCTGATCTTGTTTGGATTGTATCTCTCAGTTTTATTAGATTGTAGTTGTTTTTACCAAATTTGTGGGTTTCTTTACTTTTGTGTTTCTGCTCCTGCTCTGAATGTTTGCTTTGGAGGCATCTTTTTTGTTTTTTTTAATTAACCTGGATATTCAATCCGATATGCGAGCTGATTAATCCTAGGGCAACTACCTGCTTTGCAGATAGCCCGAAGTCATCGTATTTGAACCTCCGTGGCCACAAGGGGATTTTTATTCCTTCTTGGATTTGAACCTGAGACCTCCTAGTATTTTTTACCTTTGAAGCCAAGCTCAAAACAATCAGGTACCACTTAGTTTTTTTTAGACATATTTTGTTGTTGGTTTGTGGCTTGATAATAAATGTGGCTTAAAAGAAAGGGTAAATAAGAAAATTAACCGACGGTAAAATTGAAACAGTAACAAAAAGTGTTTAATAATATATTTGATTGAGGTAAGAATTCTCAGTGTTAACTAAAAGATATTGTCTTGACTAAAAACACAAGTGTTTTGCAGTTGATTGTGTAAAAAAAGTGATGTCGTTTTTACTGAAGTAACTTTTAACAGTAAATTGTTATTTCTAAAATATTTATGACACATTATTTTTAATAATATTCATTGTTATGATATTCCATTTATGTAATTATAGTGTTAAATATTAATGCTTTAAATTATTGCAAAAAATTGTAAATTAATTTATCAAATTTATTTCCTTTTGTGCACAATTTTCAATTTTTTTTATTCAGGTAAAAACCTATTACCGATAAGAGGTAAAAAAAAATGAGAGTAAGGGTTGGTTCTTAGGTCTAGTCTCGGAAATACGATTGAATCATCAAAGAGTAAATACGAGTTCATAACGGACCACAAAGTTAAAAGTCAGGTTCACAAACAAATATAAGAAAGATCAATCATATACTTTTTTATATTGTAAACTAAGAAATAAAGGAGAGCGTGACATGTGTCCATGATTGTTCACATTTATCACGAATAATGAACTGAACATTCATGAGAATGATACACAAGTAAGCACTTACCGCAATAGTCGTCATCCTTAGTTACCTTAGCAGACAACTTTCTCCGCCATCAGAATCTATTCTTGGTAAGCATCTTTTACCTGGTAAAAACTTTTTTTTGAAGGGTGTTCCGTATTATGCCAGACTAGTCCCTAAAAATTATGACTGTAAGATATTATCCTTGATAAACTCGATGACCACTATTGCTATGGACACTTGGAATTGAGCCCATGGCAGATGAGATATTCCACCATTTATCCTCTAGGCCTCAACCATTACGCCACAACCCTTGTGGTTTACCGGGTAAAAATATTCTCCCTCATTTATCAGGTAAGATTCTCAATCCTTGATCTGTCTATCACCAGTTAAGATTCTTAACTCTTGCTATATATTGATTTAGAAAAACAAATGACCTCAATAAGCTTTTGATAAACAATTGATCCAAATGAAAACCAATAAGTCCAATATTAATCATTTGGGCCTGGCCCACACTGGAATTGGGCCTGGCGGATTCTCTAAAGTCTAATCCCAAACCAATTCCATTTATCTCATCAAACAATTAAACCTTGAACTGATTTCTTCAAAACCTTCGTCACAATTCTTTGATCAGCTCTACCTCTCTCCATTTTCATTCCATATTTTCCTTTCATCGAATCTACAAGATCACGCCCATTTTTGGAACGATCACACTCCCTCGAAGGAATTTTGGAATTACGATTCCTTTTGTTGATTTTTCTCTATAAAAAATTCGCTCAACATGTTTGTTGGATGATCAATTGATTAATTCTGTGATTAGAAGGAGAAGCTATTGATCGATCGGAAATAATGGCGTCACCGGCACCAGCGAAATTGCAACCGCTACACAACTTTTCGTTCACGCATCTGAAGTGGAAAAACCATCGCAGCGGCCGTAGCAGACTCGCCGGAGAAACCTCTTCCTCATCGCCACCTCCGTCCAGTACATGGCGTGAATCTTCGTCGCTAAGGTCACATACTCATGCTCCTTCTCCGCCTCATCGGTGTCAAACCTCGCCGCCAAATGGTTTCCGGCGGCCATCGCCTCTAGACAAGCAATCGCCGATGCGTGATTCGGAGTTCGAGGCTGATCAAAACTACTCATCCCAATTTATCGAAAAAACGGGTAAAAGAATAATCACAGAATCATCGGCGAAATCTCTCGATAATAATAACAAACGGAAAAGATCCAACAAGATCTCTATTCGCATCCGAGAAAACAGCAATCGACACGACGCCGCTGCCGAAGAAAATCACTCATCCACACCAATGGATGATTCCGTTCCGCCACCAGCAGCAGCAGCAGGCGAAGACGAATTATCGCCGAAGACTTGGAATTTGCGGCCGAGAAGGCCGCCGGTGAATCACAAGCAATCATCTACTGGAGGTCTCCCGAAGATCGGCACATCACGATTGCAAGAGATTAAAACCTCTCACGAGACAGTAATCAACAAACAATTGCCAGAACTGAATACCAACAATAACACTGGTATGAGGAAGTCGAAGAAGCAGAAATTTTCGATTCCGCTTTCCCGTGGTGAGATTGAAGAGGATGTATTCTTGCTGACCGGATCAAAGCCGTCTCGGAGGCCAAAGAAGAGACCGAGGGCCATTCAGAGACAACTTGATGTGAGTTCCCCCTTTTTTGAGTTTATAATATCTCAGTTCTTCGTATCATTAATTCATTCTCTCAAGTGAATTGCAAATTTTAGATTCTTTTATGGGATTGTTACGGTCTGTTTGATTTACCATTTCTGGGACTTGATGCTGATTGATTTCTCCAGAAATTGGAGATTCCCAAATTCATTACATGAAAAATAATTTGGTCTTATACAAAATCAAACCACACAGACAATTAGAACGGGGAATATCCAACCATAACGTTGAGTTCATGGTTGGATGTCATCTTCAGAATGATCAGAAAATCTTCAGATTTTTCAAGTTGTTTTATTCAAGTGGTGAGTAATGCAGAATAGGAGATAAGAACCACTGCAATTTTCATTGTAAATTAACATTTGGTCCTATAAAATTCCAACCATGCTGTGTGAAATTGAGGTGTAAAACCTCGGTATTTGACACTTCACTTTCATTCTTGCAAAACATGGTGTTCCTTTTGCAAAAATACCTGTTTGCAGCAAAAAGAGCCATTCCCTCAAATGGCATCCACCAACTGTTAGGGTTATCTTGTATTTCTCAGGGTGTCAATGACTACCTGATAACTAAAAAATGAATCTTGAAAAGGATTGCTGATGAACAATCAAGAATCATATTGTTAGCTCTAACCTGCTATATGATTGTGTTTGATATTTGAATGGTTTCTAATTGCTTATAACAATCAAGAGTCATAATGTTAGCTTTAACCTGCCTAATGGTTGTGTTGGATATTTGAATGGTTTCTAATTGCTGATGAAACAATCAAGAATCATAATTATAGCTTAATGGCTTTGATACTTGAATGGTTTCTGATGTGTTGTGAAACGTGTGCAGAATCTGTTTCCTGGTTTGTGGCTTGACTCCATTACTGCTGATTCATACAAAGTATCTGAAGCTTCTACAAAGGTACGCATATATATACACATGCTTCAAATGGTGTTCCTTGTAATAACAGTCAACATTCTGCTTTTTTGTGCATGCAGGGATAGATTTAGGTTATGACGGTTATCGATCTTTCTTTGTGTTTGGTGGAAGTTGGCTTTGGGATTCTTTGAAAGTTGTTTCAAGGTACAATAAACCTCTAACTTGTATAGGTTTGAGGGTGGTGTATATAATGGGTTCTGTCTTCCTTCATGTTATGGTTTGTTTGTCTTTTGATAAGCTTACAGAGAACTTTTTTGAATTTACAAAGATTAGTTCATATAATATCATATGAGTTATTTTGGAGGTTTATTAGTATTTGATCAATGGTTCTTCATGCTATCCCTTTCTTAGAATTGAGTATGATTCAGTTTCACTATAAAATTGTTATCTGTCATTTATACACACTAAACTTACCGTTAAATGTAGGGGTGTTCGTGGTGCGGTTTTACATATGCGGTTTGAGCATTTTCGCAAACCGCAAACCGTAAACCGTACTGCATAAACCTCAAATAAAGAGTTTTTTAAAATAAAGAGTTTCAATACATCTTATTCCTAAATATATATTGCATAATTAAAAATATTCTAAGAAAAAAATAAATAAACTTCAAAGTTATGATGTGTAAAACTTTTTCTTTCATCTTTGATCCTTAAGCCCTCACTCCCAATTGACCAAATGTTATTTCAAGATTAACAATTTCATTACCATCACCAATACTAAATAATAATTATATATATATATATATATATGATATAAAATAAGAAAATAAAAATATACAAAATATGTGGTCGGGTACGGTTTGAACCGCGGTTTGATAACTCAAAACCGTAAACCACATGGCATAGTGTGGTTTGGTAAAAATGCAAATTGCAAACCACATCACAAAAGTTCTAAATCGTGCTTTTTGGTATAGTGTAGACGGTTTGTATGGTTTGATGGTTTAGATGAAGCCCCTAGTTAAATGTATTAATTTTTTGTGATGATGACTCATTTCTAGAGACTAGAAGGGTACCTGCGCAATGTAGTGGGATACATCTTAATTTTAATATTTTATTTTATTCTTCATCTCAGTCGATGTTATAGTAGAGTCTTATGTGATTTTAAGAAAGCGATTATGTTTTTATTTTTGAATAAAATATAAATTTGAAAATATCATAAAAATTTGACAAAATATAAATTAATTATTTAAAATTCCTATTTTTTATACTTTTTTAATTCAATGATTTTATTATAATTTAATTTAGATACAATAACAAAGTAATTTATATTTGGTTTAATAATATGTTTTTCTTATAAAAATATTAATTAATTATTTTGTTAGAACTCGATAATTATCCTAATTATATTTTAGATCTTTTATATTTTAAAATGAGATGTTTATCTTCTATTTGATTATATTTATTCGCAGTTAGTTATACGAATTTAAACATCGAGTTTTAATAAGTTATATTTATGCATATTTTACTTGCAATTTTAAATTTTAAGTAATATACATTAATATATAGTACTTTATGTATAAAAAATAATTTTTAAGAGTTTTTATCAAATATTTTATAATATAGTATGGAATTGGATACATTAAGAAAGCTCAAACCCAACTTGGGCAAGGCCTGTGATCCTAGTCAAAAGATCATGGGCTACTCAAAACCCGATGAGTATGGAAATAGATACATTAAAAAATAAGTCTCTTAACGATTATATTAACCTCTTAACTAGACTTTTTTAATTGACCGTAATCACAATCTATAAAATTAATTGATAATTATGTTTAGGTTTGAACTCTGTTAATATAACAAACCATCCGGTCATTATAATTAACATAAATTACTTCCATATTTTTAAAGTTAACATATTTCAAACATATTTTTTAAAATGGAGATTTTAAGAATTTTTGCTTTTAACATATTTCTCAAACTTTATCCAAAGTATGAGATAGGGAATAATTTGGATATTTCTTTAAAAATGATTACTTATGAGTATAAAATGATTATTTATTCATTATCATTAAGATCGTTTGAATTAAAAATGTTTAAAAAAAATAATCTATACTATATTATAAAATATTTGACAAAAACTCTTAAAAATCTTTTTTATGCATTAAGTACTGTATATTAATGCATATTACTTAAAATTCATGATTACAACTAAATCATGCATAAGTATAACTTATTAAAGCTATATGTTTGAATTTGTGTAACTAACTGTGGATAAATATAATCAAATAAAAGATAAATATCTTATTGTAAAATATAAAAAATCTAAAATATAATTAGGATAATTATTGAGTTCTAACAAAATAATTAATTATTATCTTTATAAGAAAGTTAGATTATTAAACCAAATATAAATTACTTGTTATTGAACATAAATTAAATTATAATAAAATAATTGAATTAAAAAATTACACAAAAATATGAATTTTAAATAGTTTATTTGATGTTAATATCGATATATTTTTGTCAAATTTTTATGATATATTCAAATTTGTATTTTATTCAAAAATAAAAACATTATCGTTTTCTCAAAATCACATAAGACCATACTATAACATCGACTGAGATAAATAATATGAAATATTAAAATCAAGATGTATTTTGCTGCATTACGTAAATACACTTCTAGTAACATCGACTGAGATAAATAATATGAAATATTAAAATCAAGATGTATAACCTCTAACATAAAGAATCTTGATGATGAAAATATTTTTTTTAATTTATTTTTTACGTTGAATATGACAAACTAATTAAAAAACAAGTATTTCATATTTTTTTAATTTAACACTCATATCGAATTACTTTTTCTCAACCATCCTTGATCTTATAATTTCTATTTTATAAATTTTTTAATATTTTTAATAAAAAACGATCTATTATGAAGATTTTAATTCTTTCTGCATGACGCTATATATATGACCTAATCAAATAAGAACTAATTAATTTGTGGTAACTATGAGATCCAATTTCAATCACAAATCAATAGATAAATTAGAAAATTTATAGTTTTAGTAATTTTGAATTAAAATTTTAATGCAATGACATTTTAGGTATTTTAATACTCTCCTCTCTCCGTCCCCCGTCCTCCGGTGATACCACAATGGTATCACAATGCATCATATATGTGCTTGAGTATCACACTGAGATCGTTTGTGTGGTCGATTGGAGATGTAACACAGTGGTATTACAATGCATCTTATATATGTTTGGGTATCACACTGTGTCTTTTGTTTAACAGAATCAATATTTTTAGGTATCACAGTGGTTTCACCGGAAGACGGTGGCCGGAGGCCGGAGGACGGAGAGAGAAAATACCTAAAATGTCTTTGCATTAAAGTTTTAATTCAAAATTACCAAAATTATAAATTTCCTAATTGATAATTGATTTGTGGTTGAGATTGGATCTCACGGTTACGACAAACTAGTCAGTTATTCCTTGAATGGGCCCCTATATATATATATCGCGTTTGGTTCAAATGTTAACCAAGATTATTGTGTTAACTTTATTAACCAAACTCAACCAACGAAAATCCATTTTTTTTTTATCTAAGATCATATCTATCTCATAATTTAATGACAAGGGTAAATATGTAATTTTGGTTTGTATGTAACTCCCATATCATTAATTGGGAGTTACAAAATCAAAAAATCTTATAATTTTTGTTGATTTACCATTGATCTTGTTTTTCTATAATATTGATTTATCTATTTATAATATCTCGAATTTGTGATTGTTAAAGTAGACCTGATAGTAAAGTTTTCGATGTTGTTCAAGCTAATATGGATAAACCTATTGGAAAACAACTCGACAACAATGAGAATGTTAAAATGGTTTACGATGACAACCGGACTTCGAGTTCCGGAAGTAAAGACAATAATCAAAGCGTTTGTATTGTAATGAATTAATATGTTATTGTATTCGTTTTAATCAAAATTATGTTGATTATGATGTTTTTGTGTTTTTTATAGTTCATATTGTGTTGGTAACTTTATCTGTAATTATTACTACGAGCCCAATTCATATGTTCAAATAGAAATAGTTCATCATCAACTTAATTTGTTATGCAATCGAATTCTGATCACCATTCGGCTCCATCAGCTGCTTGTGATACTTGACCTACCATAGACTGTAACTAAAGTTCATATACATTCAGGTGTGTTCATATATGTTATAGTAAGGATATGAATCAAGGCATCTAATATTGAATTTATAATTTTTGTTAAATTATTATTGATCTTGTTTTTTTTGTAATATTGATTTTTCTATCTATAATGTTTTTGAATTTGTGATTGGTAGAAGAGACCCGGTAGTAAAGTTTTCGGTATCGTTCAAGCTATTATGGATAAACTCATTGTTCATAATGATTGAACTATTGTTCACAAGTGTTCATATGTACACTAGCTGCATATCTCAACACATTGACTCGCTCTTAAATGTGTTCATAATTAAGGAACTATTGTTCACAAGCTGTTCATATTGTGTTCATATATACACTAGCTGAATATTTCAACATTGGCTTGCTTCTGAATGTGTTCATAATGAAGGAATTATTGTTCACAAGTGTTTATATTGTGTTCATATATACATTAGCTGCAAATCTCAACATTGGCTCGCTCTTGAATATGTTCATAATGAAGAAACTATTGTTCACAAGCTATTTATATTGTGTTCATACCCGTTATTTATTTATTTATTTATTTCCTTTCATGTAGCAGCTATTCTTATTATGTTCATATTGTGTTCATAAATGTGATGCACTCCAAGTTCATAAATATGTCAATTTTTGTTCGTATTTGACACAATGATTCATATATATGTATATATATATATATATATATATATATATATATATATGTGTGTGTGTGTGTGTGTGTATGTGTGTTCATATGGTTCTTACATTAACAAAAATAATGAGATTTTTTGATTTTATAACTCTCAATTAATGACATGGGAGTTACAAAAAAAGAAAATTACCTAAATACCCTTTTCCCCTTTGTTCACATATGTTCTTTGAAATTGTAAATTTAAAAATTTAATTTTTTATCATTATTAATGACAATCGTTTATTGTAAGAATCAATGACCAAGATTGGTTAACAAAGTTAACACAATAATTTTGGTTAACATTTGAACCAGCCCCTATATATATATATATATATATATGGAAGAGTTCAAACGAGAACACATTCATTTTACGAGAACGCAAGAACATTCTTTTACTATAGACAATCACATATGATACTAAATCAGAGACGCGAGCGATTTTCGATGCGATCTTGGTTGCGGGCCAAGTCGCCCTTACACCACTAAGCCCC